TAAACAACATTGTCTTATGTAATGCCATATGAACCTAGCCACAATTTTATTTTGGAAAATGGTAAGTAAAACTGACCCAATTTCTCCACCTTGAACAATACTGAAAAAAGAGCATTCTGCCTTGACATCTATTTTCAGTTATACTGTTCAGGATAAAGCATCATGTTGGAGATTGGATTTGCTCTAGTGGACCAAAGTGCATCAGTTCCACTGATATAAGGTGGGGTGTTTCTATTTTACCCATCGGTCTCTCAGACAGATGTGACAACACAACGCTTTGTACTGGCATAGCCCAGACTGTTCCAAGCCCATAGCAGCAGCTTTTCAAAGTGACAAAGGGGATAAGAAAAGGGGCTGAAAAGTGGTTAAAATCGGGCCTCCGATCTCCTGCCACAACCAGAGCAACTATAAGCAAAAACACAGCCTTCGCAAGACAAGGCCTTTCTTCAGTCTATTGTCCAGCAAAGGCAGATGATGGCACCAACCCTGCAAGGTATAACTTCTCCCTCAAAGTCCCAAAGGTGCTTTTTTTTTTCTTTTCCAAAAGGCAACTGGCCTTCGTTTTTGCTTGAAGACGTTTCGCTTCTCGTCCAAGGCGCTTCTTCGTTCTGATTGTCAGAACTGAAGAAGATCCTTGGATGAGAAGCGAAACGTCTTCAACGGAAAAAGAAGCACCTTTGGGACAACCACCATGACCTGGATGCCTGAGAAGCTCCACAGACATTCTCTCTCCAAAGGCTGCTCAGCTGGCCCGTCCTTTGCGCAGCGGGAAAAGGATGCCCGGGCACGGCTGCTCCCAACCGTCAGGGCCGCGCACCCTGAACGTGGCCAAACGAACCACCCACGGCGGCAAGCGCCATCCGCCCTCAACCTACCCAGCCTTCTACCAGCACTTCCGACCTGCCGCGCGAAAAGAAGGACGCAACCTACCCGCACCGGCCTCCCCGCCCCTTGGCACCCACGTGACGGAGGCGAGTGCGGGAGATGAGGCGTAAGTAGGCGGAGTTACAGTATTAACTCCGGACCGGCTAGACCCGCAGTATTAATGGAAGAATCTCTCATTCCCCCCCCCCCCGATAAAAGGTGGTTCAATCCGATCCCCTTTCCTCCCATTCCCTTTTCGCCAGCTGCGATCCAAAGAATGGAATCAAGTTGCCTTAGCAATATAGTGTGTCCCTCCGTGTTTGGCGCTGTATGGCAGAAGCCTGGCAAGGAAATGGCCGGTCGGCTTGCTTTGAATGGCGATATATAGAGCCAAGCACGGGAAGGTGGTTCTCTTTCCCGCTGGACCTGTGCGGAAGGCATTCCGGCAGGAACAAAAGGTCGAGAGGAGGCATATCGGTCTAAGTGCTATTGCTATTAAAAGAGCTTTCTCGGCTTAGCGCCCGCCCTGCTACAAAGTGAAGGCCAAGCCTTGGGAAAGAGGTCGGCGTTGGGTTGGAGGAGGCTGCAATGTTCCTGGTTTATTGGGGCTTGCGCGGTGTTTTTCCCGAGCTCTCCTGGGGTATTTCCAGGTTTGTTCCGCCCTGTGAAAGCGCGTGCAATTACATAATTCAATCCTATCTTCATTTATTTCTCAGCAGATAGTGGCATTCGGATGATGTTACCGGAAGTCCAAAGCCTAGCAGTATGGTTAGCTCTGGCTGGGGACCACCCAGGACTCTTAGGGGTGCAGCCTGGAATGGGAAGTTGAAAAAAATCATGGAAGAGGACCAGGGACACAGTGCTTCCCTATTAATGCCTAAAAAACTGCCTGGGAGTGTCTATTTAATTATCAACTGCCACGTTTATTTTATCACAAATGTGGTTATTACTTGCTTCAGACAAAAGAGAGACAGATGTGTGAGAGGTAAAACGTTTCAAAGAAGGAAACCCCACCCCATATAGTCAGTTTTGTCCTGGAAAGATGTAAAACCAGTCAAGTGACCCATTAAACGTATCTAGACAGTTGCACTGACATCCATTATTATGAAATGCTTGGAGAAGCTGATAAAGGACATTATTGTATCAAGCTCCCTGCCAGCATTTGACTTGCTTGTTTGCTTACCGACCAAATCGCTCTACGGAGGATGCTATTCTATTCTCCATCAGAGCTTGAAGCACTTAGAGGAAAGAAATACTCAGGTATGTTTGTTGTTTGTCGACTTCAGTTTGGCATTTAACACAATCATTCCCCAGCAATTAGTAGACAAACTGGGCCTTTTAGGCTTAAACACTCCTTTGTGCAACTGAATTCTTGATTTTCTTACTAACAGGCCCCAATATGTCCGAGCTGGAACAAATATTTCTAACACCATTTTCTTGAGTGCAGGTTCTCCTCAGGGCTGTGTCCTAAATCCAAACATGATTCACCTGTGGAGATGGTTACCAGCATCGAATTCCTGGATGTGCATTTAATAAGTAGGCTGGCTTGGTCGCTCAACAGCGAGGCACTGATGAAGCAGGCACAGCAGCACCTGCATTTTCTACATCGCATGAGAAAAGCACATCTTCCTTTCCCTATCCTTACCACTTTCTACAGAGGGACGATTGAGAGCATCCTGTCATACAGCATCACAGTCTGGTTTAGAAGCATCACTGCTTCAGACAGGAAGGCAGTGCAGAGTGGTGAGGATAGCTGAAATGAATATTGGCAGTTCCCTCCCTTCCATCCAGGACACAGCATATAAGCTTTGCTTGAGCAGTGTCCACAAGATTGTCTGGGACACTACACACCCTCTTCACAACCTGTTTTCCTTGTTACCTTCTAGGAGGAGGCTCCGTGGTATCCGAAGCAGAGCATCCAGATTCAGTCAGTTTTGTTCCATACAGTATTAACCTTGTGAACTCTAAAGCTTCCTCCTTCCGTTATATATTCAAGATGAACAGTGATTAATATTTGTTACTTGTATGTAAGGGTGTAGGTCTATACATATGTTGTATATGGTGTGTTTAAATGTGTTATGTATGTGCACACTTTGAGAGCAAGCAACTAAATTTCATTTTTAATGTGTGCCATTGTACCCACAGTAAAAAATAACAAAGGCTCTCCCTCTCTCTCTCTCTCTCTCTCTCTCTCTCTCTCTCTCTCTCTCTCTCTCTCTCTCTCTATATATATATATATATATATATATATATATATATATATATATATATATATTTGTTTTCTGAGGTTTTCGCGGGTGTTTGTATGTAGGTCTTTGGTTGTTCGGGTTTTCTCCCGCGTAAAATTGGAAGTGTCTTGGCGACGTTTCGACGAAGTCCCATTCGTCATCTTCAGGCTGGTGTTTTCAGCTTCGTGCTTCGTCGAAACGTCGCCAAGACACTTCCAATTTTGGGAGAAAACCCGAACAACCAAAGACCTACTATATATATACATATATATATATATATATATATATATATATATATATATATATATATATATATATATAATCCCTCCAACAGAACTGGAGAAATTGAGCTGCTGAAAAACTACCCTTTTTTGGACTAAATGTTGAACTTGAGCAGTAAGGGACATACTTCTCAAACCTTGATTGGCTATATCAGGCATGTCAAACTCGCGATGTCACGTGACATCGTGCAACGTATCGGGCCGGTTTTGCCATTGCTGGCAATACGGTGGGTGCGGCTTCCACGTGACGCGTCTGGCCATGGGCTCGCAATTTGACACCTCTGGGCTACATTGATCCAGTAATGCCTGGTCAGTGGAGTGGATGGGAGCAATGTTATTAAGATTTATCAATACTTTCCTGGTATAGCTGATGACGTACTTCACATTTTCTTGAGAAAATAGATGGGGAGCTCCTGTTCTCAAAATGATAGCTTAAAAAGACTGCAGCTAGAAGCATTAAGAGGGAGATTTGATTATTTTAATAGTTGAGTTATGGTGTTATAGGAACAGGGTGCTTCTTTGCTTTGAACATTATATAACCCTGTCCTTGTGATTTATGGCTTACCACTTTCTTTGAACCTTGGCATTATGATTTCTTCATGAAATCAAGAGCAAAACAACCCATGGCATATCCAGCTTTGTATCTCCATGCTGGACCATCCTAATGATGTTATAGAACTTCTGTCCTTGGATGTAGCAGTACACAAATTAACTCATCCCTAAGACTGAGTGTCTTTCGGTTTTAGACTCGGTCCCTTAGTTCCAGGAATTCTCTATCTCCTGGAGTTGTTTTCACTGTCCCAAATTATCAGTGGGGTTTCACCAACCTGCCTGTGCAATTAGGTAAGCTTCTTTCACTCATGGCTGTTTGTGGAACAGATAATGACCATGATCAGGAAAGCCTTTGCACAGCTTCATCTTGTGTGCCAATTGCACCCTTTCCCAGGGAAGAGGAACTTTGAGCTACCAAAAAGTTAATTTTTTTTCGTATTCTCCACCCCACTCCACCCAAAACTGTGATCATCTGTAAGAAACTGGAATGGAAAGCAACTGACATCTAAATTCATTTAAAATGTGTATTTTGTGCCTAAGCATACAAATGCAATCCTTTTGTACAAGAGAGATCTGCTATTTGTAGCAGAACCCATTATAAACGAGACTGCATTCAATTCAATTTAATGAATCACTGGGAGATGGGCCACACAATAAATTATTTAATCAATTATTGTTGCTGTTGTTGGATTTACAGGACACTCTAAATTGCAAGCTAACCAAAATGAATTTGCCAGTACATTTGATTAAAATGTGGTTGGCTAATTGTGTTCAGTGTTACTATATTCATGTAATGCTTATCCGTGATTAATGTAAGCATAGCTTAATTAACCCAGTTAATTACATTTCACATAATGTACTGACCATTTATATATAGGGGCTGTGATAACAATTTCTTAATAAACACTTGGGAATCCTTAGAAATCCTATAGGTAGCTTCCCTGACATACTTCATTTTGTTCAATGCTTGTCATTCAAACCCTGTTTTTATTTTATTTGATTTTCTGTAATATGCCCAATTTTCCACTAGAGGACAGGATAACTATTCATACAATCTAAAATCATTATACTTAAATAATTCAAAAAATACAATTTTTTTTATTTGACACTCTTAAGAATTATATAAATATATCAGGTAAATTACATCTATCTGTTTAAATGACATCAATCTGATTAACATCTATAATACCTCAAACACATTTTAAGGACGTTTGTTTTTAAAGGCAGAATATTTACTGATTTGAACATACAGATTAATGTTTAAACAGGTAGTCAATAACAAAACAAATCTAATCTATTAAAACAGCTATTCAAATTTTAATCAGTTTAATCCAAAACATAGTACGGTAATAAGCAGGCTATTTGGAGTACTTGGGAATTCAAAATAATTAAAATAATTAATTTAAAGAAAATTGGTTATACTGCAACAATTCTGCTATAAGCATAAGGTAGCTTGGATATAAATACATCTATAACAGTGAATAGGTCTTAATATGTTAAACCAGTGTTTCCCAAACTTGACAATTTTAAGGCATGTGGACTTCAACTCCCAGAATTCCACAGCCAGCGTTGCTGGCTGTGGAATTCTGGGAGTTGAAGTCCTCATGCCTTAAAATTGTCAAGTTTGGGAAACACTGTGTTAAACTACAGGCACATTTTCTAGAAATATAAAATCCACAGTTCATGAAAACTTTTTCACATCTTGTATCTTCTCATTAAATTTCCAACTTTGTTCAAGAACACACATGAAAGTTTTTTGCTGTTAGAATTCCTGTCAAATCTTGTTCAATTTTGTGACTATGAGTACTCTCACAGTCTGATCGAACGAGCTACAGACACAGAGACCGCGTTTGTCAGGACTCCAGTCAAGACTAGAAATGGGCTGGGTTGATAATGTCACATTCTGTAAAAGGCTAACTGATCCCGCTATTCCCATTTCTGTTCCTTCTGAATCCTTCTTAGAGCGCTGTGCAGGATACTCACTAAAGCAGGGAAAATAAAATGAGTGAAACCACTTTATGAATATGTACAACGCAAATTATTTTGTCCTATCTTCCTACATTTTCTCCAAAAGCCTCAGGATGCCTTCCAAGAGACATTGCATTTTATCTTCAGAATAACTTTATGGCATGCGTTAAGATTAAAAGAAAGAGGTGTGCTCAAAGAAAAGGCCTGGAGTTAATCTCTCCGTGGTAACTTGCATCTCACTAAAGTCTGCCTGCTTTTTCCTGTTTCGCCTTTTTTTAGAGGTGGGGAAGGATTGGCATTATATTATTTTGTACTATTTTTATTCTCTTGAGTTCATGTAATATTAATGCTTTGTTTTTTAACTTGTTGCTGTTAGAAACACTTACTTCAAACTGCTGACTTTTTGTTTTGTCTTTTCATTACTTTAGTGTGTAATTCTATTTTGTTCTATTGTAAGTCTGTAAATATTTAGTACTTAGAATAGAGCTGGAAGGGACTTGGAGTTCTCCTCAAGCAGGAGAACCTATACCATCTCAGACAAGTGGCTGTCCAGTCTCTTCTTAAAAACCTCCAGTGATGGAGTGCCCACATCTGAGGGCAAGCTGTTCCACTGGTTAATTGTCCTCACTGTTAGGAAGTTTCAGATTGCTTCTCTCTTTGTTCAGTTTCCAACCATTGTTTCTTGTCCTGCCCTCTGGTGCTCTGGAGAATAATTTGACCCCCTCTACTTTGTGGCAGCCCCTCAGATATTGGAATACTGCTATCATGTTGCCCCCGTTTCTTCTTTTCTTTATACTAGCCAGACCCAAGTCCTGCAGCCGTTCTTCGTATGTTTTAGTCTCCAGGGCCCTGATCATCTTGTAATGTAATATTGTAAGCCTGTACTTCTGTAAGAGGTACAAAATTTGCATCACTCAAAAAACATGGCTTTGATGGAAAGTAAAATACTTACTATTTCCAGAGATGAAGGTTTCCAGCTCCTCCACTTGTCACAAAGATATCTCTGTTCTGTGGTAAGTGCCGAACTTGCCACACGGTGGATTTGTGAGCCTAACAACAAAATTATGTAACAAAATGAGAGAGACAGTAAAGAGAAATCTTTTGTAGTTTTCTGAAATCAAGACTCAAGAAAATCAGTAAAGTGAGTGATTAGAATATAGCTAAAAATTGTGTTCGTGCCCCAAATCTAGCCTGCAATGTGCAATGACGAACGAGCACACATTTATCTAATCATTAAGCAGCATGAACCCTTGAGTTCAGAAGTCGTCGTAATTCTGGCAGTCACATGACTGTGCCTAATTCTGTAAAACATAAAGCGATTTTCCCTTACGTTTCCTATTACAGAGAAAATGGAAGTTGGAGGAGTTTCATTTCATACTTGGTGAAGGAGACAGACTTTTTATACTTAAGTTCTTTAATACAAAAAGAAGTGAGACAGTTAGGGAGAGGCAGCCAGAGCATGCAAAGAAGGGGCTGATTTCCTGCCTGGGCAAGTTGAGAAGCATCAAGAGTCTCTTTTCCAATTCACAAAGCCCAGGGTGAGTAAGAAAGCATCTTTCTCTCTACAGTTCTTCCGAAAATACAAGACAATTCAAGATTCATCACAATTAATTGCTTGATAGCCAGGGTTACCTAGCCCAATATGTAAATGCATATTTGACTCTTCTAGGTGGCTCATTCATTTGTAGCACTCAGTCTGGGAGATACTCATCTTATTCAATGTACTTTTTTCACACGGAGGGCTAGATAGAAATGCAAATATAATCTCCTTTTTCCTGATTAAATGTGCATCTTGAGATGGATTGTTCTCCACATCTCAAGGGGCTTCTAACCTTATTAGCTAAAAGAGAGAATAATATTCCAATCCATTCTGAATTTAGCTTTGCATGAGACACATATTCCAGGGATTAGGGTATGAGTGCTTATGAATCACCTCCTCTAACTTCACCACCTCCTTCAATGGCATGTGTCAACAGAACACCTCCCACTATAAATCAGCAATCTCTTTTTAAACAAAATAATTTACCTTCTCTGAAACAGAAGCAAAACCTTTAGTTGGATGCTGAGTTCTCATATCAAAAACATGAAATTTTCCTTCAAGCGACGTAGCTACCAATTTGTTCATATTTATATCTTTCCTGTCAAATTCAACATTGCAGACCTAGAAATTTAAAGCAACCAACCAATAAATTACAACTGAATAACACATTACAAGAAAGAACTGTAATACAATTTATTTAGAGGCACATTCTATCAAGGATACAGAGAATAGCTAGCTCCATCTTTTTCCTCTTCTAGTTCTCTGCTTAGCCCTAGCAGTGTTTCCCAAACTTGACAATTTTAAGGCATGTGGACTTCAACTCTCAGAATTCCACAGCCAGCGTTGCTGGCTGTGGAATTCTGGGAGTTGAAGTCCTCATGCCTTAAAATTGTCAAGTTTGGGAAACACTGCCCTAATGGAATCAAAGGCCTTTTTTAGTAGAATTATGCAACAAGATTTCACAAAATTTTTACACTTCAACAATATTTCTGAATTTCCCATTGAATAATATAATTGAAAGTGAGAGACTACATTTTTTTTATTTTCATGTTTATTTTAAAGAATATTTGGGCAAGCATAATTATCGTTCCATTACAGATTGACCACACTGCTAGTCTAACAGTCAGGTAAAACAAACTGATTAACTAACCAACAAAAACTCTTAAAATGTTACCCATCCCCACAGAATTACAAAGATTTGTGAATAAAAATTGTGAAGAAAAAAAAGTCTAACCAACCCCATTCTTAATGTTGGTTTCCCATCGTAATGTCATATTCCTAAGGTCAAACAGCTTGATGTCCCCATTGTCATAGCCAGCACATACAACCCGTTCTTCTTGATTGTATGCATTGCCTAATTAAAATAAGATGACAGTATTGAGATAAAGAATCAACAATAACCAAACATTATTCTAACAATCCTGTATTTGTACACCAGTTTTAAGGAAATATATTTGTAGTAAAACAGTTTTGCAATGAGATAATCATTTTATTTCAGAAAACGTAGCATTAAAGCAAAAGAAGTATCAATTGCAGAATTTATATGTTATTTTAAATAAGACATTAATGCACATATTTTCTGCCTCTGAATAACAGGATTTGGAGTTTTTAAACTAGCTGTTTAATATCAAACTGGGTATCTGATATCAAACTGGCTGTTTGATACTGGAGAAGATTAAAAGCAATAGGTTGATTCCTGATTTCTAGAGGAATAATTTTATGATCAGCATTTCAAACAAAATTTGCAATTTTCCCTAATAATTCCTATCCTCTTTCTGTGTCAGAGCAACTGAAAAAAGGAATATTGTGATATTCAGTAATACTGTGAATGATATGAAAATTATTCTGAAGAAATGCTTCAGAACATGCGTGAACAGTGTATTGTTTCAATATAGCACAAAGTTCCGCACACAAATGTGTGCGTCTCAAAACCTCTCAACAGTGTTTTTAGGTTTTAAAGCCTGAAAATAGGCTGTTTTAATGAATATTAGAGAAATATTACATTTGTGTAAGAACCTAAAGACTTTTTCCCATTTTTTTTAAAGTGAAAACAGCCATTCAGAGAATAAAGTAATGGGAAAACAAGATAAATTCCATGACCAATTTCTATAGGGCATGAACAGGTTAGAAACTCAGACCTACCAAATGCAACTGTCCAACAATCTCTTGTACTCTCTCCTTGTGCTGGCTCCATATTGGCAACAGGAAAATCTTTTTGTCTTGGGTCCCAGACTTTCACTGTCCCTGCAACCATCACGTAAATTTGTATTTATTCTTCTACATCATGCTTGCAGCTTGCTTTTGAGAAACCATCATGCATATACATGCAGAGTTATCTATCTGTATGTAAAAGTCTTTTCAGTTTAGTTCAGCCCCTGGTGACTTCACAAATGAATCCCTGTAGTTTTCTTGGCAACAGTATAAACGGAGATTACCATTTTGCTTTCTACAACTTATATGTCTCTTCATTTCCAAAAATTATCAATGACTGACAATATTACTAATAAAAGATAACATTTTAGTCAGTCTGATGTGCCAACACGTTAGCATGATCATATTCATTCTCAAATGTCTTTCTGAAGAGCCATGTTTCTATAATTCCTTCCGACTGAAGTCAGGTCAGAGGTCCCTCCTTCCTCAGAGGTTTATGCGGCCATGGAAACCAGAGCATGACCTGACTATTACAAAGAACTAATGCAACGTCCTGTCTTCAGATTATATGTTAGTTGGTTGAAGACACAAATCAGATCTAATGTGAGGCTGCTTACATGAATTGAGCCTATGTTCACCTAGGTAGGAGAAGCTCATGGTTACCTTGGTGGCACTGAACCCCATCTTCCCTTCCCAGGAAGGGTAAGTTGGTGCCCAAAAGCAAAAATATAAGGAAATCCTTTACCTTGGGATCATATATGAAACTGAGCCGTGCACACCTCTGAGTGAATATTTCCCTGCCTCATCCATATGGTTTTAGTAATATGGGTTGTTACCTTCTTTGGGGAGCCTTTTCAGCTTCACAGGCTAGCTTATAGCTCACGTATTTCCCAGAATTTCTCCATTCAAGGACTAACTAGATCTGAAAGTTTTTATCCCCAGACCAAGTCCGCCAAATACTACCAGCTTAAACATACTTTATAAATCAGTTTTAGACTTTTGTAACTGACTTATTTTGTGTTCCTCTTTTTTCATTTCATACATGTAGCTATCAGTTTGTTCCAGCTCTCTAATGACTTATGCGAAAATGCTGTTCGATGGAGACTCAAAATAGAACATACAGCATATGTAGATCTTATTGCAGAATCTTGTAACTATATCATATGGCAACTGAGGACTCTCACATGGAAAAAAGCTGGCATATAATGCTGTTACCAAGTTTATGCGAGTGAAAAATGTTTATGGAATGTCAGGCAAATTTAATCTGCTGATTGTTCTTTTTCAATTCTTCAGAATCTGCTGGATTAAAAATAAATTTGTAGCTTGTTATCACTGATATTCCACAAAAATATTTGCTTGTTTAATAAATGTGATAATAGTAATAACTCAATTTCACAGGAAAAAAACCTTTATAAGGTAAGGTCATACTTTTAAAATTCTCTAAATACACGTATTCCTTGATTTACAACCATTTGTTTAAAGACTGAAGTTACAATAGTGATGAAAAAAGTGTCTTATGACCAGTCCTCAAACTTACGACTATTGCAATGTTCCTACAGTTACTTGATCAAAATTTGGGTGTTTGGATGATGGGGAAAAAAACATAAGGAACTCATCACCATGTATTTTCCATTCAATTTAAAGCTAAAATGATCTTAAATTTAAAATCAAAGTTAATTCATAATGCAGATTTTTACAGATTTAAAGTATCTGTATCCTATTCTAATCTACTTCCCTTGTTCTCTCTTTTGAGGACATTGCAAGACGACTAACTTACCATCACGACTTCCTGTCACAATTTCTGGAGCTCCTTCACCAATTCCCAAACCACCAACTCCATCAATGCTATTTATGATTTCTTTATGCCCCTTCACAGAATATACTGGTATTTCTGGAGCTTCCAAATTCCTAAACAGCAGAAATGGAACTGTTATTTTATGTTTGTTCATAAACATCTCCTTCATTTAGAATTCATCTCTTGATGACTATATAGATACCAGTTTTCTTGATGCCAGGATGGAAGTAGTTTGTCATTCTCATCTTTTAAAAAGTTTCACAATTTCCTAATTTGACCTATTGCCAATGACACTTCCTGGTAGTCCATAAAATCTACTACTACCCAATCCAAGATCAGAAACATGTATTTATATTTCTCAGTAAATCTATTTAGAAATGTAACATTCAATACTCAAAATATAATTAATACAGCTATGCATTAGAAAATAATTCTGCAGATGTTTTTCTGTCCTCCTGAGGTCACATCACATCTCTATTATTCATTAATAGTCTGGGTTCCCCCCACCCAGAATTTCACATAAGTTCAGAGAAAAGATGCACCTCCTTTAAGGCAGGGGTATCAAACTCAATTTCATTGAGGGCCGCATCAGCATTGCGGTTGCCCTCGGGGCCGGGTGGGTGTGGCCAGGATGGGTGCGGCCTACTGAGTGGCTGTGGATGGAGTGGGTGTGGCCTACTGGGTGGGCGTGGTTTCAGCAGGCAGCGGGGCGCTCTCCTCACAGTGCCGAGAGGTTGAGGCGGGTGGTGCGAAGCTCGCCAGCTTTGCACCTTGCTACCTGCTGAAACTGGGCAGACTGGGGGCTAGGCAGCATTGCCCTTCTCATCAGATTCACGCCACCCAGCTCAGCTCTTGGCGCTGTGAGGACAGCACCCTGCTGCCTGCTGACACTGGGCAGGCTGGGAGCTGGGTGGCCTCGCGTTTCTTTTGGGATTCGTGCCGCCCGGCTCAGCCTCTCGGCGCTGTCAGGAGAGTGTCTCACTGCCTGCCGAAACCCCTCCCCCGGAGCCCATCAAGCCAGATAGGTGAAGTAGGCGAGGGCCATTTGCTGGCCACTTCCAGGCGATGGTGCATTTCTTCATTCCTCACAAAGGGTGACACCTCCCCAGCATGCACCCAGGGGGCGGGGCCGACATGGCAGGGGCTGGTTCCTCGCTGTTTCTAGACAGCCTTGTGGAGCTAAGACTGAATGTGTTTCAGCATAGATGGCCACCACAAAATTGTACATTGGCTCCCGGCTGGCCTGGGCCAGGGCCAAGGCAGTGGAGGCTGTTCCCTCGCTGTTTCCAGGATGGCTTTACAGGCCACATGAAACCACTTCGCGGGCCGCATCCGGCCCCCGGGCCTTGTGTTTGATATGTCTACTTTAAGGAATCATTTTATTAAAGTTAATATAATTCTTAAAGTAACCACATTTTCAAGAATCATGTAGAAACTTTCAAAAAGACAAGACTGGTTTTACTGAGTAGCAGAGAAATGTCTTTGCAAAGGATTCAAAGTGCTTCTGAACTATTTTTAACATATAAGTCTAAAAACTAGACTCATCTATTCATACATGGCACACCAGTCATCAAATTGATACCTAGTGCCATTTATAAATTTTCTGATGAGAGAACCAATGGCAAGATAGTATCAGTTGCAGAATACAGAATTCTCATTTATCTTTTGTTGTTGTTAATTGCGAAGTCGTGTCCGACCCATCGCGACCCCATGGACAACGTTCCTCCAGGTCTTCCTGTCCTCTACCATCTTCTGGAGTCCATTTAAGTTCACACCTACTGCTTCAGTGACTCCATCCAGCCATCTCATTCTCTGTCGTCCCCTTCTTCTATTGCCCTCAATCTTTCCCAGCATTAGGCCCTTCTCCAGTGAGTCCTTCCTTCTCATTAGGTGGCCAAAGTATTTGAGTTTCAACTTCAGGATCTGGCCTTCTAAAGAGCAGTCGGGGTTGATCTCTTCTAGGACTGACCGGTTTGAACGCCTTGCAGTCCAAGGCGTTTTGCATTTATCTTTACTACATAGAAAACTGAATACTAACATGAAGTTTTTTTTCTTCTTTAAAACATGACAGTAGTCAAAAGAAAAATATATGTTATTACCCTCATGATGCAAAATGGAAAGATATAAAATTGTAATTGTTACAATGCGGAGTTTTTTAAAAAATGTTTTTACAAACATTTATTATATAGATAGTCCTTGACATACAACCATAATGGAGTCTACCCATTACAACTGCATGTTACAACTGTCATAAATCAGTTCGGTCATGTCACCAACTCAATTTTACAACTGTTTTTGTAATGGTCAGTAACCAAACACAGCAGACATAAAAGGAACACTACAGTATTAAATGAACATCGTGGTCATTAAGCAAACCATTATTTACTATGGAACAGTTTTGCTAGAACTCGGAAGTTACTTCTGATTTTTAGCAAAACCATTGTAAAATGCAGTTATGTGATACCAGGATGCTGCTAATGGGAGTAGATGCAGCCATGCTGTGGAGCGCTCAAAGTGTGGACATGTGATGAGGAGGAGCAGGAGGAGCAGAACTGAGTCATAACCCCTGTTTTGCAAGTGGGTTGCCATTTTGAACGATCACAACTATAAATCATGACTATCTGTACTGAATCACAAATTGGTCTGAAAATTAACCTGGGCTTTAAAACATATTTTATAATTGACACTGGAAGATTCAGAAAAAGAAAATCATAAAAGATAATAAAGTTAATTCAGTTTTCTTCAAAGTAAATGTTTTATTGCTGTCTAAAAACCTAACACTTCTAAATTAAGAATATTTAAGACAGTGAACAATACTGATTTTACAGTGACTTTAAATTGTCAAATAAGAGATAAATCCATTTCTTTAAAATTTGCAAAATGAACATTTCTTACCATATATTTAAATTTCCACCAAAATCTCCAGTAGCTAAGTATCTTTGTTGCAAAGAAGCAGCCCCAAAGGTTCCACATTTAATAGGATGTGATTTTTCAATCTGGAAGTAGAGATAAATATTTACATTGAATGATTATTATTTTCGATGTATATCTTGTTTTACCTGTTAGAACAGTGGTTCTCAACCTATGGGTCGGGACGCCATTTGGGGTCGAACAACCATTTCACGGGGGTCGCCAAACGCAGTCTGCCATTTTTTCCCCCCTTTTCCTTAGCTGTGCATAGTCCCTTTTATTCTATTGGCTTTTGAAAGCCAATAGAATAGACTCTCTTGAATAGAGTCTAATTCTATTGGCTTTCAAAAGCCAATAGGAATTGTCCAGGCTGTCTCTGCCCTGATGAGCCTGCCAAAAGTCCAATTCTGCAAACGATGCTGCACCAGTTGAGTAGTCCTCACTTACGACCGGTTGAGTAGTCCCCGACTTACGACCGGTTGGGGGTCGCGGCATTAAAAAGATTGAGAACCACTGTGTTAGAACATATTCTACATATTAGAATCAAACATTGACTGAACACAATTTTTCACTTCCATTAGGGTTCAAATGAATGAACAGATTTGACTTCGTAGTTTTTGGGGAAGAATTCCAAATAAGTCAAAGAAGATTATCATTGCAAAGGCATAAAGAATGCCTCTCCCATGCACGTTCTCCTTTATTTTCTCCAGTTGAATGTATCTACAAATTGTTAACCTAGTACTTTCTAGATGCATAATCTAAATGCATAATCTAAATAGGCATGAAACAGAAAAATTAGAAGTCGCCATTCACATTAGTTTGAAGTCATTTTTTAATTGCAATTCGTATCTCAAGCTTTTAAACATAGGTAAGTCCTCAACTTACAACCATTCATTTAGTGACTGTTCGATGTTATGCCACGGAAAAAAGTGACTTCTGACCAGTTTTCACACTTATGACCATTGCAGCATCCCTATGGTCATGTTATCAAAATTTGGACACTTGGCAACTGGCATGTATTTATGATGGGCCGCAATGTACCAGGTTCATGTTATCATAGTTTGCAACTTTGACAAACAAAGTCAGTGAGGAAGCCAGATTCATTTAACAACCATGTCACTAACTTAACAACTGCAATCTTTCATTTAAGAACTGTGGCAAGAAAGGTCGTACAATGGGGCAAATCTCACTTAACTGTCTCACTTAGCAATGGAAATTTTGGGCTTAATTGTGGTTGTAAATGGAGGGCTACTTGTACATCCCTTACAAATCATACATGTGCTTAATAGAACTAATATATATAAATGTATACACAGAAAGATTTAAAGATACCATTAAATTCAGAATGACCAACATTCAAATTTGCCAGATCCATAAAATTCAATTTCTTTACAGAAAATCAAATTAAGATGCATTTTTTTCCTAAAACTTTTGAGCCAAAATGAACTCTTTCTGTAAAAACATGCAATTATATTTATTCTGTCGCATTTTGCCTCATCTTTAAAATCCCACTTCATATGGGCAAATTCATCCATTTCTATTTTCTCCAACCTTCCATTTAGTATGTGTTTGTAGACGATTGGGTTTTTTTTTAAAAAAAAAAAAAGTCCACAAAAAATAGATATAGCACACACTTTCCCTGTCCCCACATTTCCTATAAGGCAGAGGTTCTCAACCTTTTGGGCACCAGGGACCGGTTACGTGGAGAGGTTTTTCTGCGGACCGGAGGGGCAGGGTTTTGTATGCTGCCTGCATCCTGCGGATGGGGATTTCCTTGGTTGTGCAGCCCGGTTACTGTCATGCCGCAGCCCGGTAATGGTCCAGGGGTTGGGGACCCCTGCTATAAGATATATACTAATATACTATGCTTTTCCACATACTTTTCTTCACAGCCAGTATATTTTGCATGCACTTCCGTTGCAAACAGAACTTTGCATTAAACTAATTAATTTAGCCTGTCCAGCTAGTTTACGGACGATATACTGTATGTAGATCTTCTAAAGAATGCTTCACTTCAAAGTAGATATGCCCTGTTTCAACTCTCTGCCAACAATTCATTAATGCCATTCATGGTGATCCATTCATATTAAAAAAAACCTTATTTATAGATAAAATATGCTTTTTTTGGAAAGTAATATTAAAACTAAAACCTAATTTCATTTTCCGTGAAATGGGAAAAAAATGAAGTGTTTGCCCCTTATGAGGATTTAATTATTGTATTTTATACTCTACAAAGTCAATCTGTACTATAGAAAAGAATAAAACCAATGGGCTGTGCATCTCTTGCAGTGCTATGGCTACAGTAATTAACTGCACTATGTTTGGCAGACTGCTATGTATATAAGAACAGTTAATGCCTATTTCCATGGTGAGCACTGTGGCATTCTTTATTATTCATTTCTTCACACGTGACTCTTGAATATACTGCTTTGCCAAATACTGGGTGCTGACATTGTTACAAGATACTAATGCCAATACAAATAGTCCTTCTAGACTTATGACCACAATTGAGCCCAATATTTATGTTACTAAGCAAGACAGTTGTTAAGTGAGTTTGGCCCCGTTTTGCAGTTGTTAGGTTAGTAACATGGCTGTTAAGTGAATCTGGCTTCCCACTTGATTTTGCTTGTTAGAAGGTCACAAAAGATCATATGACACCAGGATACTGCATCTGTCATAAATATGAACCAGTTGCCAAGGGTCCAAATTTTGATCACATAACTATGGGAATGCTGCAATTATTGTAAGTATGAAAAATGGTTATAAGTCACTTTTTCAATGCCACTGTAACTTAGAATGGACACTAAATGAATGGCTGTAAGTCGAGCACTAATTGGATATATTTCTTCATGATTTGTTCTAAGATGCTGTTGCATGTATTCTGTTAACTGGAATTGAAGCTTCTTAATTAAAAGATTAATATTGAAATGACCAATAACTTTAAGCTGTTTTCCTACTCATCTTCTGCATTCATTTGCATCTTGCTTCTGACTCTGTACAAATGCTACACTGCAATTAATGCCAGTGGAAGCAAACTCCAGGCATTCTACTTGTAAGAAAAGGAATGTGGAGCCCCCAACATAGGGCAATCTTTACTAAGTACACAATGAGCGACAGAGAGCAATTCCTGATATCACTTCTTGATAAACATATGTAATTCTCACAAGACCTGAGATCCTGAGATCTCATTTTATGAATGGTAAAATCCCATTAAAGGACTCTGTGTCAGTATCAGACACATACAAAAAAAATCACATCTGGACACCATTCAAGAGACAATAAAAAAGGAAAGAAAAAGACCAGGTTGCATCCTCTACTACAGCAACCCACACTTAGATAAGCAGGAATTAACATTAGACAAGAAGTAAAGCGAAAAAAAAAACAATATTCTAATCAAGGAACTACCAAAGAGAAAACCACATTCCACCAACTCTAGCAGGGCATGCTATTGTACATGAAGAGGGAGCAAACCGCAGACTCAGGACTAGCACTGATGATGTTACCTAGTTGGGTAATGAAACGGCTGCGTGCAAACAACCAAGCCCAGAGAGCACAACACTTCGTAGTTCAACCCTGAGCTACACATATTCTCTTCTATTGGAATTAAGGTATCAGCCCTCGATCTCAGTCGATAGAAAACTTAGGGAAATTTGAGCTTCCACTTAAGCCCAGGAAAGTATCCTGTGGCCCATGCAAAATTAGCATCGTGGTTGTCAAGTATATAGCAACTCCTGGGAGTGAGGCTGGTATACATGGGCTTCTTGCTGCAGCCCAGTGCGTTCTCTTCCTTACTTCGCGGAGGAGGTTGAGGCGGCCGCCCTGCAGCTCGTAGAGCTGAATGACGCCGGTGCCGCGCGGGAAATTGCCCAAGCAAAGAAGGCGAGCGCTGCAGGGCACCCATTTGCAATCGAAGACAGTGTAATTCAAGCTGTGTTGTGTATGCGCGATGATCTGCGGCTTATCCAGCAAGCCTCCTGCCGACATGACAGCAAGAACCCGCCCCTGAGCCCAACGGCACCAGACCGGGCCTGAATCTGCGCCACCACCCTCCCCCTACTCAGCGTCTCCGCGCATGCGTAGGCGACGGAGAGGTCACACATCCGGTATACTAGATCATAGAGATTCAGAGGGTGTTGTTGATCCGTACTCCTTTTTTGCGCAGCACCGCAATCCCTTTCCACCCAAGCCTTCGCTCTCTCTATAGGGCGGAAAAGGGCGGGGAAAGAGAGCGCGATGTCCAACCATAGAGTGCAGAGTGGAGGAACGGCAAGGCTTCCTATCGGCTGTCTTGCGTGGCCCGAGACGTAGTCCCGCCTCTTCCTGTCAATATCGTGTTAGATAAGGCCGGCTAAGCGTGGAGATGGAAAGCGCTGGCGGAGAGCGGCTGCCGCTGCCTCCGACAGAGATGGAAACACAAACTCACCAAGAAGGCTTCACGAAGGTCCTCAAGCGGAAGAGGCGCCGGGAGCCCCAGATGGACACGAACGAGAGCCCAGTGCCTAGGAAGCGGCCGGATTTCCCTCCTCTTAGCGGGGAAGCCCTCGCCGTAAGTGACTCCAGTTGCTCCTGGCGTGGCTGCGCTGGGCTGGCCGAAGTAGAAAAGGGTCACCGGGAATCGTTCCTCAATGCCTGGGCGCAGATTACGTTTTCCCCTCCCAGCCTGGCGTTTTTCGAGGAAAGGCATATGGCGTTTTGGAATGCAAATGGCAAGCAGGCGCCTTAAGCTGCGGGTGTTTCAGGACCAAGTTTATACTACATTCTAGTAGTAACCCGAATGTGGCTTACTCTGGTTTTAAGCGCAAATGTAATCATCAGGTCAATTTATTATAATTATATTGTGGGTGGGCGGGTCTGTCTGAACGTAGGCATCCCCGGCTTCCCGTTCTTCGCTTTGGTGTTCATTCTGAGAAAAAAAGCTATTTTGGTGGAAGTCAGAATCAAGTTTCAAGCAAGGTCTTAGTACTGAGATAAGTCTTGGTCGCACTTGTCAATGACCTGTAGCAGAGCCGGGATGGCGGTGATGCATCCACTCTTGTTCCCCTGTATAGTTCTCTCTTCCTTGGTTGCGGGAGGCAGGATGGATGTTGAGATGGTCAGTCATTGCTCTGGACAGGCATGTTATGGCTTAGGTACTGCAATGCAGTCTACATCTGGCTGCCCTTGAAAACCTGTTGGAAGCTTCAACTGGTCCAAAATGCAGTGGCACAGATAGTGATGGGCATGCCTCCTTATGCCCAGGTAACACCTCTGCTTTGTGAGTTGCACTGATTGCCACTTTGCTTCCTGGTGCAAAATAAAAGCAACAGGTTTTTACCATTTTATGCTGCTTTAGCTTCTCTAACAAATTTGTTTGATCCTCAGTATACTGTTATAGGGTGACTAAGTTTGCCATACATGTTGTATATAGAAATCAGGATTTTTATTAGATCTGTATAAGATGGACATCAGTTTTTAGTAACAAAAATCAGAAGGAATCTGATGCAGTCAGAATAATAGACTAACACTAGCATAAACTAACAGCTCTTTTCTAATTTTGAATAGGTAGAACTTTAGAGACAGAATCTCTAATGTATCTAATATTAGAAAAAAACTAATATTTTCTGTAGTTTATTGTATGTAAACTGAGTTAAACTAAATGCATGGAATAATTTTATTTGCTGAACATTTTATTATGTGATGGTTACTATTTTTTCTAGTTTGGAAAAGGTGAATTGAGAAAAATTCCTGTACCAGCAAACAGATATACTCCTTTGAAAGAGAACTGGATGAAAATTTTTACACCAATTGTAGAACATTTGCTGCTTCAAATTAGATTTAACTTAAAAACAAGGAATGTAGAGATAAAGGTAAATTGTAAGTCTACTGTTTTTGAAAAGTTAATGATGTCTTGTATTTGTGTCTGCTGTTAGAAAAAAATCACTCCTAAATTTCTTTTTGGCATTAGAAATAATATTTTGTTAAAACAAGTTATCTGCTTAATGTTTTGGCAGTAAGCCATAATAAGCCTTATTAATTTGGTCAATAAAAATTCTAAATAATTTAATTATATGAGAAGGCATTCCAATGAAATAAATATTCATTCAACTATAAATAGATAAGTCAAATGTGCATTGTTTAAATAGGAGCAGATCTTTCACAAGGGGAACTATTTATCTGGTTGCCACCCAGAACATGTTGCAGAGTTGATAGTAGCAAATTATATTGCAATTATACTTGGATGCCACTGGCATGGCTAAACAGAAATTTCCCCCTTCTGTTTTTGTCCTTGGTAAATGAGGAAGAGTAGATCAATACTTTGGTTCACAACTTCACTAATTATTTTGGCCTAGGGATACTTGACAGCTATTTTTGAATCTGTAAAGAATGCTTTAATAATTCTGTTAATTTCAGAAAATGCTGGTTTGTTAAAATAGCATTTTAGTTCCGAGTTATTAAAATTGGAAACGTCAGTTCTAAATGGTTTGAAATTAATGTATCAATTCATTTAGTCAACCACAATATAGAATATAATTATAATTCTATACAGATTTGAAGTTTTTTTTTAATTTATTCATTAGCACTGTCAAATTAGCTTTATATAATAGAAGCAATAGAATATTGTATTAATAGAATCTTTTAAATTAATATTTAGAATTAATTGGATTAAATATTTAGGAGAGTAGATTATGGTGCTTCATGTAATATTTTATGTATCTTCCAAAGGATCACTTCCTAAATTGTAAAACTTATTTTATTTTCTAGACTTGTAAAGAAACAAAAGACATAGGTGCTTTGACAAAAGCAGCTGATTTTGTAAAAGCTTTTATACTAGGATTTCAAGTTGAAGTAAGTTCTTGTCTACTGTAGTTCACTTCATTGTATGAAATGAAAAGATCTAAGAAGTATTTTCCATACAGGGTTGGGGAAGAATTTTGTTCTTTTTCAATAATTAGCTGAGGGATTTAATACTTTGTGAGTCTAGTTGCTGAATCTGTACCGTGTACCGTGAGCATACGCAAATAAATTGGGGAACAGTCTGGAATGAATTTTGAGATGGTAAAACCCATGGGTTAAGAACATTTTAATTGACAGATAATTTCCTGCCAATTGATGACTTCCAGAATTATGTAGTGGTATATATTCTTTGAAGTATTTGTATAAGTGTGCGTATTAGGGAACTTAGTACTATTGTCCATTATTTCAGATTTCTAGCCAATTATTTTACTGTGTTTTGGTAATGCAAAGCCAGAGAATCCATATGCTATGGTGACTTACTAATGACTGTTCTTGATCCTGTATTTTTAAAAGTCATAGTTATTTTTTTTTTAAAAAAAATGCTGTTCTCTTTTTCAGGATGCACTTGCATTGATCAGATTAGATGAGCTTTTTCTAGAATCATTTGAAGTAACAGATGGTAAGTATGAAAATCAGTATAAGATATCAAAAGATCAGAACATAAATGGGTATTGGGATGTGAAATACATATAGTTAAGAACTGTTATTCATTGATAGGAATACATCAAAGCCTGAAATAGCCTCTGAAAATAAGTTTGAAACATGTATTCACAGTGTTTGGTCTGAAAGATCATTTCCCACCGATTAATTTTTTAGTTGAACTATTTCTCAGTTAAAATTGCCAGCCTTTATTTGTAACTGTTAACATGTCTTGTGGATTTCAAAAGATATGTTAAAATTGTAAAAGATCAACTATTATGGAATATCACTGTTAGGTCTTCTGCTGAGTTATCATGAGAATCTTTAATGCAGATTGAACAGCAAAAGCATTATTAGAGATATGTTACTAAATAATTATGATTGTGATTAGAGTTGTGTAATTTTTTTCTAGTTTCAGCACTCTCAAAGCAAATTTGTTGTTTCTGTGTATACATATATATTTCTAAATGTTATTTGTTAGCAGATTTTCTATACCAACAAAGATTTGGGTTTCATTTCTGTGGATTGCCTTGTTTCATCAGTGTACCTGAGAGAAGTGTTGAGAAAATGGTTGAATCCTGTCATCTTAATTCTTGTATTATTACTTATCAGCATAGCCCATTAAAATGTGGGGGGAATAGGGGGTAAAACTTCATAAATCTTTTTGAAGTATATATTTTAAAAAAATAACTGGTTCTCACTTGACTGTTAAGTGAACTAAGTCTCACACTTACTCAGATTTAGCAATCACGATTCATTGGACTCCAACATGAACAAACTAAAGCCCAGGGAAGTGGTAAACAAATAATTAAAACAGAGTTTTCTCTTTAGTCAAACCTTTAAAAGGAGATCATCTTTCAAGAGCAATAGGAAGAATTGCTGGAAAAGGAGGAAAAACCAAATTTACTATTGAAAATGTAACAAGGACGCGAATAGTTCTTGCAGATTCGTAAGTATTACATAGTTCCCACCTTTTTAAAATTTTGAACCTTGGCTAATAAACTTCCAGGTGTTAGTGTAATAGTCCTCTGTATATTTAAGCAATTGCAGAATCCCATTTATAATTTTGCCATGCTTATTATACAGAGGGGCAAAAAAGTATTTAGTCAGCCACCAATTGTGCAAGTTCTCCCACTTAAAAAGATGAGAGAGGCCTGTAATTGTCATCATAAGTAGACCTCAACTATGAGAGACAAAATGAGAAAACAAATCCAGACAATCACATTGTTTGATTTGGAAAGAATTTATTTGCAAATTATGGTGGAAAATAAGTATTTGGTCAATATCAAAAGTTCATATCAATACTTTGTTATATATCCTTTGTTGGCAATGACAGAGTTTTCTGTAAGTCTTCACAAGGTTGGCACACACTGTTGCTGGTATGTTGGCCCATTCCTCCATGCAGATCTCCTCTAGAGCAGTGATGTTTGGGGGCTGTCGCTGGGCAATACGGACAACTCCCTCCAAAGGTTTTCTTTGGGGTTGAGATCTGGAGACTGGCTAGGCCACTTCAGGACCTTGAAATGCTTCTTACGAAGCCACTCCTTCATTGCCCGGGCGATGTGTTTGGGATCATTGTCATGCTGAAAGACCCAGCCACGTTTCATCTTCAATGCCCTTGCTGATGGAAGGAGGTTTGCACTCAAAATCTCATGATACATGGCCCCATTCATTCTTTGGTGTACACGGATCAGTCATCCTGGTCCCTTTGCAGAGAAACAGCCCCAAAGCATGATGTTGCCCCCCCCATGCTTCACAGTAGGTATGGAGTTCTTTGGATGCAACTCAGCATTCTCTCTTCTCCAAACATGACGAGTTGTGTTTCTACCAAACAGTTCTACATTGCTTTTATCTGACCACAGGACATTCTCCCAATCCTCTTCTGGATCATCCAAATGCTCTCTAGCAAACTTCAGACGGGCCCGGACATGTACTGGCTTAAGCAGGGGGATACGTCTGGCACTGCAGGATCTGAGTCCCTGGCGGCGTAGTTTGTTACTGATGGTTGCCTTTGTTACGTTGGTCCCAGCTCTCTGCAGATCATTCACTAGGTCCCCCCGTGTGGTTCTGGGATTTTTGCTCATCGTTCTTGTGATCATGCTGACCCCACGGGGTGAGATCTTGCGTGGAGGCCCAGATCGAGGGAGATTATCAGTGCTCTTGTATGTCTTCCATTTTCTAATTATTGCTCCCACAGTTGATTTCTTCACACCAAGCTGCTTGCCTATTGCAGATTCAGTCTTCCCAGCCTGGTGCAGGTCTACAATTTTGTTTCTGGTGTCCTTCGACAGTTCTTTGGTCTTCACCATAGTGGAGTTTGGAGTGTGACTGTTTGAGGTTGTGGACAGGTGTCTTTTATACTGATAACAAGTTCAAACAGGTGCCATTAATACAGGTAATGAGTGGAGGACAGAGGAGCCTCTTAAAGAAGAATTTACAGGTCTGTGGGAGCCAGAAATCTTGCTTGTTTGTAGGTGACCAAATACTTATTTTCCACCATAATTTGCAAATAAATTCTTTCCAAATCAGACAATGTGATTGTCTGGATTTGTTTTCTCATTTCGCCTCTCATAGTTGAGGTCTACCTATGATGACAATTACAGGCCTCTCTCATCTTTTTAAATGGGAGAACTTGCACAATTGGTGGCTGACTAAATAGGTACTTTTTTGCCCCACTGTACATGCTGGATATATTAAAACTGAATCTTCAGTTTATTGGATCCTACTGATAAATTCCCAGGAATAAGACACTTTACAGTGTATCTTCTGGCTGAAAGTAGTATATATACAAATTGATATTGCTTGCATGCATCGCTTGTGACAGCAGATGAAGCCTCTATATATGCTATATTGTTATTACTCATATAATGATAATGCCTGGATTTGATTGGCTCAGAGATTTCAAAAATATTCAAGCTGTCAAGATTTCTAGCCTTCCATCAGTCAACATATTACAAAAAACAAGTAGCAATAGAAAAGGTCTATGGGCATTATTTCAAATTGTTTAATATCACAATCAGGTGTGTGTGTCTCAGTGTCTGTAGCAACTTGTATCTATATACCAATAAAACTCTTCATGACCTTTAACTGGATGAAATGTCATAGGGCAATGCTTTTTGAACCAAGGTACCTCAAATTAGCTAACTTATGGAATACATCCAAAATCCAGACCCATGACTCCCATGGAACTGAAATTTGGCAAATTTTATAAAACATGAGATAAAAATAATCATAAAGCATTCTATGACATAATATAAAATGTCATAAAATATTTCCTGTGAGCAACTTCTGATGTTTGACTATAATACACAGTTCAGCATGGGCTACTTTCAAGGTAGATAGATCTCTTTGAATTTTAAGAACTTTTTAAGTACATTAAAAGTTATGCCATTGTTGAGGACATTAAGGAATCTGGCAAGGATCTTAGAAACAACCCAAAGGGTCATGGGTTGTCTAATTATATTTAAAAGTAGAATGGTAATTGTATTATGCAATAAGAGAAGCAAAAATTGAAGAGTTAATGAGCCTCAATTAAGACATTCAGTGTGTCCCAACAGATGGTTCAGGAATGAAATAAATGAGAATGGCATTATGTCATGAACATTTCTAAAGATTTGTAAAGGCAAAGCATATCCAGTTGCTGAAACTGGTCCTTATGAAAGTAAATTTATCTTGGAGTTGCTTTTGTATAAAAATATAAAATATTATATAAAATTGTGTAGTGAGTAAAAGTAGAATTCTTTCAGATGTTCCGTATCTAGTTTATATGAGAGATCTTTTATTTTTAATTACAGGAAAGTTCATATTTTAGGATCTTTTCAGAATATTAAAATGGCACGGACAGCCATTTGCAATCTCATTCTAGGTAAAACTTGTTTTCCTTTTGTTAACATTATATTTTGAATCTTGTCAGTTAAAGTGGAAAGATTTGCAAGCAGAAAGTGCTTTTAGTTAGAGAAATGTAACTTGACATTTCTATGAGGGCAAGGGATAATCTAAAGGCTATAAACAGTGATCAAGGGAGTAGGAGCCATAACTACAGGCTGTTTCCCTATACACCTCAAGTTTTCAAGGGTGGGTAATCAAACACAGAAAAACTGAGATGGCACAAAATTGCTGCTTTCCATACATGTCACATTGGAAGGCGTTTTTGGAGCAAGAAATTAAAAGTTAATTTTTTTCATATCATTAAACTGATGGCTCATCAGTGGGCTTCATTATTACCCTTGTTCTGAATCTGCTATCTAAATTCTAACCTAAATATATAGAATTTTGTGTTTAATGTAACGTAACATACTTTCATTTAGGGGTACTCTAGTTAGAAAAAGGCCTAAGCTGTACCAATTTTAAATATATATACATAGACATACATACATGAATGTGTGTACACATACAGCATATACATACACATATACACACGCACACACATATATTTCATGTTTCTAGAATGCCCATCTCCTTCAAGAATGTATGACACAGCAGCCTGATAAGAGCTTGCATTGTCCTAGAACTAAATTCTATTCCTAAGTGAATAGTTTATTATTAATAGTTTTTATTATACTAATTATAACTGTAGACCTTTGCTGTATTTTTAAAAATATATTGTATCAGTAGCTATAAATCAGTTATATTAATGCACTGTTTTCTTCTACAGGAAGTCCTCCATCTAAAGTTTATGGCAATATTAGAGCAGTAGCTAGCAGAGCAGCAGAAAGATTTTAAAACTACAGTTTTTGAAGTCACAAAATTCTACACAAGATACTGGAAAACACTTGAAGAAAGAAGCCATGTCAAAATGTAGATTACAAGAAAGTGTGCTTTTCTTTAAAACCCAAAACAAACACATTGTGTTTCAGAAGCTCTGCTAAACCATTTCAAGAGGGTGACAATTCAGCCAAACCAAAAATTGGGATATTTTGTTTGTCCAGAGTTTGGGCTGAAACAAAATTCAGAAGGATTTTAAGGGTGGGTTGGGCAAGGCTGATATGAAATGCCTATCTCTTCCCTCCTTTGGCTTGTGGCAGACTACCGATCTTCCCAATGTCTTCCTTGCCCTATTTCACACTAGCTACTGCCACATCCTTAGCTTTCAGTGAAAATATCCACCTGAACTGCTCCTTCCTCTGATCTTTGCAGCATCTTCATTTTCTTTGTTTCTGGTTGCCACCAATATCCCTAGGATTTTCCACTTTCTCCCTGCCCCCAAATACTTCTTTCCGAATTAATTCATGCCTATGCCACTCATAACTAGCAGTTTCATGCATGGAATATTCTTCACATCCCTAGTAAACTGGTAGCAATTTTCTGTTCCAACATGACTGGTATATAATAGAACTGCTGCAGCAATGCTCTCAAACAAATATCTATCATCAAGCATTCTAAATGAAATTATGTCCAATAAAAACTGGTACTTGAATTTCCTTCTAGCTGACATAATTGTTATTTTGTAAATTAAATGGATACAGGGTTAACTGAATACAGCAGCTATGATCAGAATACTTTGGATAGTATGCTGCAAGTCACTATTAGATGTGTTGTTCTTAACACAAATCCCCAACTCTCTTAAAATACTAAGATATCTAGAAATATAACTGGTTGCTGGCAAAGCTGCTATTCTATCAAAGCATGGGGCTGCTTGCTATATTTAGCAGACAAATATATTTACGGTTAAAGTGTATTAAACTAGCAAACTACACACGTCTAACTACATCTATCCAGATGTTAAAATGAGTTGATCAAATGTTTCCAATCACACATATTTTTCCTTCTTATTGAGGAAGTTTTCAGATGAAGGAAGGAAGCTGTTACAATGTTGCTACCTTCCTTCCTGGAAGAAGAGAGAAATAAGATTTTTTTCAATATTGTGGAAATACAGAGGGAGATACGTAAAGATCCTAGGGTTAGCTGTTTTTGCATTAGGGCCACCTGCTTTTCTAATTCTATAGCAGAGAGAATGCAAACTAGACTTGAGAGGGCACCAAAGAAGTCTAAAAAATGGAGGCGAGTGGAATCTTACACCATTAGTCTCGACTCTTGACAATTGCCTGAGCGAGTCTTTGCTGTTTTGTTGGCAGACATTTTGGGAAGTACCTTGATTTTTCCTTCCTAGAGCTGTGAGAATAGAATTGACCCAGTTACCTATCTGCCTTTCTACCTAAAGCAGGACTAGAATTCGGTCTCTGCCTAATGTCTTTAACCACTACACCAAACCACCTCTCAGGACATGAATATCTATCTGTTATAAAAGAGCCTTGCAGGTTCCCTTCACTTTAAAATGTAATTTTTAGTAATTTGGCATCAAAGCATTTATAGATCAGAGCCCATTTCATATTATTTCATGGCCCAAATGTGTAGACATTTTACAGCAGCTTTTGGAACAACTGATTTTTTTTTCCATTTTTTTTGCTGTAAGATTCTGCAAGCAGCTAAAAGGGGTGTCCTACCCCATGAATGCACATGCTAATAAGGGCTTGCTAATAGCAAACTAAATATCCTTTCATAGTAAAATTCATAATTTTAATACCACAAACTAGCTCTTAAACTATGTAAATTCCCAGTAATTTATTCAAGCTTAATGTCAATTTGCAAAATCAGATTGAATGGCTGAATTATATATTGTATGTATGGTGCCAGTTCTTAGTTACAGCCCCTCATGTTTTCTAATACTTTCAGAGATAGTACAGGAAAAGCCCTCTTCAGATTCAAGGGGATTCTTTTAAATTATACATGAGGCTCTTTGGATCTAAGATACTATTGGCTTTTTAAAAAAGTATAAGATTCTGTGCTGAAGTAGGAATGGACAATATGTATATTCAATCCTAAATTCATTCCCTGATGTTTACAGTAGATATATCTTAGATGGAACTTTCCCTTATATGTGCAATGAGTCAAGATTGCAAATTTAGAAAAAATACTATGCTTAAAGTAAAATTGGTATTACCATGGAACTAAGAATAAAACTGACCAACTAAAATTCTCCCCATTAGTGTGCCAAAAACTTCCATAAAATTACAGCTTAATGTATCTTGATCTTACGGTTCCTATTCACTAATACAGGATAGTTAACATGTCTATGAAAGAAAAATTAATTTGGGAATTGGTTATCCCTTTAAACATTAAATCTGATGCTACCTGTTGTTAAATGAACTGTCACTGAGAAAAATGGGCAAATGATGTTACAGATATTTAATTATACATAAAAGTGTCAAATAATTTTAGTACAATCAGATCTGCAATTCAGAAATTTTTTTTTCAACTGAAGCTTTAACACCATGCAGTAAAGTTCAAATAGTTTATTTTTATTCATACATTATTAAGGTTCCTATAGTTCCAACAATGTATGATATAGCATGCAGAGGAAAAAATCTAAACATTCAACATAACCTATTTTTTGCACACAAACTAAAAAAAGCTCATTCCCCCAGTACGAAAGTAACATTAGCACTATTTTCTATTATGCCAGCAACGATATGCACAAGCAATTAAGAAATAGAAAGCAATTGCTAAAATATTTGTAACAAATATTTATGTACAAAAAAAAAATTCACAAAAGACTAGTTCCCCCTGAAGCAGAGCACATGGCAGTTGACAATGGAACAAATACAACCACTGGCTGGGATTATAATCCACATACTGATCCAGAGGAAGAAAAGATACATGTAGTGGAGACTTTCTGTTTTAACATTTACCAAAAGTTTGGCAACATTATCTTTTTAAAATTATGCAAATCATGTAAACAAGAGGAACATTTCAAATCGATCTACATGCAAAACTTCATGTCATGCAAGGACACCAAGCACCTGGATTTCTCTCTCACAGACAGAGCCCATGATGTGCAGCACTCAATTGAAGGAACAGCTATGGCTGGCTGGGAGGCAATTGATTTTGAGCAACCTGCCTTTCCACCGCGGATTATAAAACATTTCAAATAGAAAAATTGCTAGAGGAAAGGGCGTACTATCCTAAAAATCTAACAATTTTTTTCTAGCCAATAGTACCATTGCAGAAAAAGAATGATATAAAGTTGTATAACATGCCTTGCTACTTTTATATCACACATATAAAGTCACTGTCAATTACAAGTCATGATAAAAACAAATTTAGAAAAAAGAATTCTCCAACTGACGATCAGGAGGTTAAAAAAAAGTTAGATAATGTGAACCTTACCTCTTTCCCTATGGCAGAGGCTAATGTTTCTCCTGTAATAAACCTATATACACATATATAAAATATTACCAGGCTTTATGCAACTTAAACGAGTATATTAAATGCTTTAGAGAAACTATATAGTTGGAAAATATTTTAATGGCATGAGAGGTTTTGTAATCTTGCTGCAGAAGGTATCCTAGGAAATGAATCCTAATTCTTAATTATGATTAGTACTGAAAAACAAGTGTCTTTACAACTGTTATATCTATACTTAATGGAAAAAAACCAATGTTTACTAGGTTTATTTAATGCAATTGTGTTCATTTATTAAGTGAAAAAATGAAATGATAAGCATCTTTTTGCACATACAACCTAGTTCTTGGCAATTAAATTTTTATAACATGCCTTGCTATTTTAATACCCATAAATAGTATGTGTACATATATGTACATGCATATACTATTAAATAGTGTACATATATACACAAACTAACCTACATTCCTGTCATACAAAAATGTAATTAAGATAAATTAACAGGAAATAATGCTATTTCAGCCAGCCAATATATAAACATCTGAAACAGTCACAGGAAAAAGTTGACCTAACATCCATTAAAACATTATATTCTTCTAAAGTATATTTGCCTGCATGTGTGTATCTGTGTGACATAAAAGTAAAGATGTATATCTATATGTGTTGAACTAAATAATGATCTGCTTGGCACTTTTGTACTCTAGTTTTATGCCTAAATCAAGTATATTAAATTAAAGCTTGCCTAACTACTAAATAGAAAGCACAACATATATATCTATATATAAATACACACACACATATATATAGATAGATATTTTCTTGTTTATAAAAGTTGAGAAAAATAAATTAAAAAGCCAACCCCCTTCCCTTTCTCCACCACATTGATATGCTCTTTCCATTTTGCTGTCCTTCAGACTTTTAAAGTGCTACACTTGCGTTATTGAGAGAATGAAAGTTCAACAACACTTAGTTGGCTTCATGAGGCTCATGTTGGAAAATGTGGTTTCACAGAGAAAAATACTTCCATTTAAATACACAGAGAGCATTGCTGGACGTCTTGAGCAGATCTTCAGAGATGGAGAAGAAAGCAAAAGTGTTGGGTAGTATCATAAAGAGTCACACATCTACCACCATCTTTTTGTGAATATCTAGGCCTCCTACAACCTGAAATATTGACAAAATAAATACTGTGAGAATTAAAAAGACATGAAACAACAATAGGTACGACAAGAATAATCGGATTTAAAATATTAGTAATAAATATGTTGGTTCATACATTAGATAAAATTGATGTAACTGGCCTAGAATCCAATTATATAATAGGAAAAAAGGAAATATAGTTCTGGGTTTCATTCAGTTCTTCCTAACCAACCTGATTATTTTGAACTGGGTGGGTGCTGACAATTTAAAAAAAAAAATACTTCTACTTAATGATTGTTATGAAGCACACACTGAAATCATTATAATGACACATATAAGAGAACTGTCAAATAAAAGTGAAATAACAAAAACAGTTGCTGAATAAACTGTAATGGATATATGAAAATACTAACTGCAATGATAGGGGGAAAATACACTTACAGCACAGAATTCTTCGAAGCTTATTCTTCCATCACCATCTTTATCTGCATTTATTATGGTTTTGTCTACAATTTGCTGCAACTGGGTATCTTTGAGATTGTTCCCAACCATCATTTTCAAAACCTGGAAAAGCTCCCCATTGGAAATATAACCATCTTTGTCCATGTCATAGATGCGAAAAGCAACTACCAAGGAAAGAGAAAAATATAGTTCTGAGTAAGACTCTCTGAGAGACTGGGAAAGCTGAGGATGAGGCTTTTGAATGCCTGTTTTAATAGAAGCAATTCATTGAAGCTACTAAGAGATTGTGGAAAAAGTTTTCAAAGAGATTTTGCCAGTGTAACTCAGGCTTGGAAATTCCTACAATTGAAGGAAAATTAAAGAAATTGCTCCTTAATTCTAGGTTGCTAAAACTAAGTCAATAATAGTCAGTAATCCTATTTAATCCTCTAAGGACTAGTTATGAAAAGTCTGACATCACAATACCAATGACTACTTTATTTTATATTTTGTTATATAAATCTCTATTTCCATGGGATTTATATAAACTATGATGTAATTTGCATTATCTGAAACATACATTGTATATCTTGTCAAATTCTCATTGCTAAAATTCAGCAAGAATACCTATGTCTATATAACTATAATTTCCAGCTACATGTTATTGCTAAGGAAGAGTTAAAAATCAATTCTATGCACTATTTCTTAGCAAATATCTCACTGTTCAAAGTATCAAAAGGAAAAGGGGGATGGAGAAGTATTAGAATAGCCATTTTTATGTAAAAGCCATTTATCTCAGAAATATGAAAATCATGTTATCACTGTTATCTAGCTCAAGGTATATTAAAACTTACAATTGCTTATGAAGTAAGATTAAGTGAGGAAGAACAGAAAAATAACTTTAATAAAACATAGTAGCTTGTAGTTAACAAAACATAATATACTTACACCTCAACTTCTGCTCTTTGTCACCTTTGACACTGAACTGAGAGACTCCTTCTATAAATTCTACAGAATACAGGTATAAAGAGAATTTAGAAAATATTTTATATATCCCAAACTTTGGAAAATACCCTCAAATTTTCTTCCATAACAATCTTAAAAGTAGTAATTTTTAATTATTGTTTTTATGACCCCGAGTTAGCTACTATGTACTTACATTTTCTTATTTGACAAGATCTTGTGACTCTTAGAAGATACATAAAAATGCAGCTTTTAAAGATAATCATTGACTTACAACCATTTGTTCAGCAACTGTTTGAAATTATGATGTTGGTGGACCAAGGTACTTATACCCTGTGGGCAAAGTTACAATCATTGCAGCACCACCTGTGGTCATGTGGTACCAATTCAGGTCCTTGGCAGCCCACCTGCACTTACAACACAGGGATGCTGCAGCTCCCTCCAACTGCCTATCTCATTGCTCCCTTGGCCGAGAAGGCAAACAAGGCCCATCCGGCCTATTAGTTCAAGCAAAGCCTTCCTGGGTCTGGGCAGCTTTGCTTGTGCTGGAAGGGGATGAGGCTTTCTAGACCTGGCCAGCTTTGCTTGGATTGATGCCTGAGTGAGCAGCTAAGATTGCCATGGGCAGCTCTGGTCAATTGCCATACGACAGCACTCTGCCCAAGGTGCAGGTATAATTATTGTAACTGGTTTCTCCCTGTAAGTGTTAAGGAGTCTTAGCACAATGCAACAGAATACTTTATTTTTCATCTCCCTACAGGTCTCCAGAATTCAAGAGTCAAGGAACTCTGTGTGGAATCATCAATAGTTGAAAGGGAATGAATAGAAAAACATAATCTCCTTGCATTTTAACCATATCAAACATCCAGCTGCCCACTGGTTGTCATCTACACTTTAAAAGCAAGTATCTAGCGCCAACCCAAATCAGCTATGGAGCCCAAAATTAATGATCTAATTATTAAGATAAAAAATATCGAATGTGGAAGTTTAAAATTCTGTTTCTTTAGGATCACAGATTATTTAAATTATTTAAATATGCTCCTAAACTATTATTTAAAAAATACAGCCTGGGACTTTTGTTTATTTTACTTTTTGATAAGTTTTACTTTTCAAATTCTAAAGTACTGTGACTATTTACAAGATCACTTCTTTTCACACTAACCAAACTCAGCATTAAGACTTTTAATGGCTCTTCTGCAATCCTCGTGCTATTTGAAATGGTATCAAGGATAAGTAGGGTTTTCAGCTGTCCAAGAAACTAATTCCTAGATGGGGTTAACCTATGGTGATTAGAACTTTTAAAAACTGAATCAAATGAGATGTTTCCACTGAGGGAACTGCACTCATGAGTAGGACAAACCATTTTCCCTTTTCCCAAACAGATATACAATTACGAAACTATTCATAAACTATTTATGAATAGAAGCATTATGAATCCTTCCTAGGTCATAATACAAAACATTTCTCAACTGGAAAGCTACATTATCACATAGAATATGATTAACTAAAGCTTATAACTAACTTAGAAAAACTACAAAACGTCTACATCTTATCACATTAGACAAAAGCTGACAGTTTGAATACGTCTATAGCAAATTAAACTTTTCTTACCTTTGAAGTCTACTTCTCCATTTCCATCTGTATCAAATATATCTATTACTCGTTGTACCAAGGGATTCTGTTGTAACTCAGGCAAAGACATAAATTCTTCCACACTTAAAGAACCAGAGTTATCTAAATCAAGCTTCTTAAATCTCTTCCCCAATCGTTTAATCTCATCTGCATCAACTGGCAAAGGGGGAGGAAGAAGACAGAGAAATATGAAAACCTAAACTGAATATATAATAGTTCTTTCTTGTAATACAATTTCTTGTTCAGATCTAAAAACGATGACTATTTAAGAAGCATATCCTCTTACTCTTACAAATAGTTTTAAATGTAATAAATTAATATGGATTACCTTTCACAGGACAGGACATTGCAGATTTTACTGTAGAGCTCTGTATAACCTAATACATGCTGACTCAAGTGTTCAAAGGACTAACAGTGCTTGGTTAACTTCAGCCTTATGTTTACAAGCATCTGTCAGGTACAAATCTTTTAATTATCTAACCACGTCAGTTATCTTTTAAATAGGAGGGAATAAGAGTGAGGTCAGTTACAATGCATAAAAAATGAGTTTATTTCTATTTGTAGTTTTAACTCCTTATGAAACTGAACTGGTGTTGGTCAAATATTAAATTGATAATACAATAAAGAAATTATCAAAAGATTAGATACCATTTAACTGTCTATTGAATGATCAAATATTCTTTATTTTAAAAAATAAAATCTTGCCAAATTTTATTTCTTTTGGCTGAAATGTATATTATTTCATTCTATAATATTATAGAATATTAGCCTGGATGTTTTCTTTAAGGAAAAATTAACATTGGAATGAAATGGAATGTTGCATCATTTTCTTTGTATCCAACAACAGTAAAAAAAAAAAAAAGATAGCCACATCTTATGTCATTTTACAAGTAGCAGAATAAGCTGAATAAGTAACAAAAAGTATGTGATGTGTGTAGTTCTACATATTCCTTGAATACATTTGAAACTGATCTGTAAATGTTAAGGAATTTTCCTATAGACTGAAGGAATTATACCTAACACTGGTTAGTAGATGAATATCAGCTAATGACTGAACACCAGTCACATAATTGTTTGTTTCTACATCACAACACGCCATCCCAACATTACAGGGAAAAAGAAAAAGGTCTATTCCATTATATTAGATGAAGTCCATAGTAACCCAGCTATTAGGTAAACCAACTGAAAATATTTTTTCCACTGACTTCAAAAACCACCAGAAATACTGTATAAAGTTTTATGTACCACTTACAAAACATATGTGTCTGTGTGCACACATATACACACTCTCTCTCTATATTATAGATTATTGAAATAATTAAATGTGCTTTGTAAATTTTAGCCAATTCTTGATATAATGGAAGCACTTTCAGAAGACTGCACGCCTATGTTATAAAGTACAGATAGTCTTCAATTTACAACCACAACTGGGGCTGGAATTTTAGTAGTTAAGCAAAATGACTGTTAAGTGAGACATCCGATGCTTCACTTAACAACCAGAATCCTGGCACTCCCAGCTGCAATTGTTAAGTAATCTCTCAGGTCATTAAATGGACAGAGTCCCATGTGCTTCAGGGGAGAAAGGGAAGCCCTGGGGGACTCCACTTAGGCACCACATTCTTCTCTGCCAAAATCCGAGCAGGATTTCCAGATTCTAAAGACCATATAGCACCCTTTCTGAGGTCATCGTTAATTTGAACTGTTAAGTAAATAGTCATAAATTGAGGATTACCTGTATAGCAAATTGGAGGACAATTCAAAGTAACATTCTTTTTTTTATGTCACTAGCAATCTTGATCAAATCTTGGCGAACTATTAAGTATCCATTGGATTATGAACATGAGATACAAATTAGTAATTTCTATTCAAAACTCAGTTTAGGTATGAATGCAATGGTACTCTATATTTACATACTACAGTTTTAAGTATATATTAGCATCTTACAAAGTGCTTTTTTTCTCCAAAAGATGGCATAATAAAGTAAAACATTTTCTGTGAAGATGACAATACAGGTCTGGTCAAAAATATGATTATATTAATTACTTTGAAAAATAAGAGTTCTAATCTAATTGTATAACAACCTTCTGGAAAGGTGAAGAAAAGCTGTGTTGTGTGTTATTCCAATCTGGGAGCAAAAAGAACCAGAACCATATTGAGACTATCAACATTTGTGCAAAACAAATTTAAATTCATACTAAAAGTAGTATCAATTTTCAAATATCATGCACTGAGATTCAATCCATCTAATCATATTATTGAAATATCTAAGCCAGTGGAACATCCAGTTAACTATATATACTTACCGATCCTGAAAGCATGGTGTTCTTCCAGTATGATTTCAGGAACAGCATATACATAACAAAATCTTAATTCTAGTGTACAATTAGAATTAACAATGCTACAAAAAAGTCTTCAGAATTTTTTTTTTTGAGTGCAATATTGTAAACATAATTCTTAGCATACTGAGAACAAAATCAAAAGACTTAGAACTTGGGGGTTCTCTTAATGATAAAGTAGAAAGTTCCTAATGCATCTGGTTCATTCTGGGGAGAGCATAACCAAATGACTGGGTGCAATTGTTCCTGCAAGGCCTCTTTTCAGTTACCAATCCCTAACAGTTTTAGGAGTGTTGGGAGATAAAGCAAGTGAAAAGTCAGTTTGACCAAGCAACCATTCAAATAGGTTTTGGGCTTTCACAGTACTGTAGTGATAAATGCAAGTACTAGACTCTGCTGTATCTGCAGACTCTAATCTAATCTAATTTAGTCTAATCTGCAACATTTTTAGTGATGGGACTAGCTAGATGATTTTGCTGATTTCATTGCAGATGGTGTCACTTCCATTAGCTCAAATCCAAATATCAATTGGATAGAACATATGAGATAAGTAGAATTCATTAATTCAATCATGAAATTACATTTCATTATGACTTTGGATTCTTTATAAAATGATTCCTTGTACTTGCTACATACTTTGTAGCAGGGCTCCTTGGGAAAATATGGGAAGCCTGCAAAGATCACAAATGGCAATCCCAAGATTGTGGTTCGCTGCAATATCATAATTGTAAGTTGGGCATTTATGTAGAAAACGTACCTGTATTCCACGTGGAGTTATTTTTTAAGACAACCCAGAAGTTTAAATGGGTAGAAAATCTGGTGTCCAGGAAGTTAACATAAAAAATGTGTTACTCCACATTGTAATCACTACCTTAGTTGCCAGGAAAATTCTGGGCAGGATTCAAAGCACTGGTTATTACCTATAAAGCCCTGCTTGGTGTGGTTCCAGGAGGCTATAAGACACCATCTTATCAAGCATGATTTTGCCTGTCCAGTAAGACACTTCATCGTACAGCTATCAGAAGAAGATAGTGGATTTTGAGGTAGACCTTTTCCATGTTCTCCTTCTTATAGAATATTTTGCCCTGATATGTTTTTAAATTTCAGCATTTAAAAAGGCAACAAAAACCGTAAGTTTTAAATATGGATTTACTGCCTTTTATTTTTCTTTGGGCATCTTTATAGTGAAGGGAATGGTTTTGTTTTATTGTTATTTATTATTTTGAATATACTCCAAGTCTTCAGAGAAGAAAAGAATTACAATGAAATATGTACATCTGTTGGTTAAAGAAGTTCAAAGGGACTAAGAATAAATTGTCATGGTTTGTTGAAACTAATTGTCAACTTTTGTTGAAACTAATTTAAATCTTTCACTTTGTGCATAACTTTTGGGAAGAAAGATTAATGACAGTGTTTATGCATAACTAATCCTCCCATCCTTTCTTTTTCAACTCACAGACAATAGTTCAATGAATCCCTCAATACCTTAGGAGTAGCTTTGCAAGAATACAAGAATAATACAACAGAACACCATATAGAGATTTTGTATATACAAATTCAGTTTAGCTGAATTCCATATACTACATTGTTATATTAAATTATAATTAAAGCTGAATTACTTCCAAGAATTATAATTGGCCTTCTTCCTTGTTTTAAAGCTGGTAATTAGAGGCAGTTTGGTCTATTGCAGTGTTTCTCAACCTTGACAATTTTAAGGCATGTGGACTTCAACTCCCAGAATTCCACAGCCAGCAATGCTGGCTGTGGAATTCTGGGAGTTGAAGTCCACATGCCTTAAAATTGTCAAGGTTGAGAAACACTGGTCTATTGGTTAGACACCAGGAGACTGAATTCTAGTCCTGCTTAAGGCACGAAACCTGGCTGGATGACTTTGGGTCAGTCATCTCTCCCAGCTCAACTCACATCACTGGTTTGTTGTTGTAGGAAAACTAGGAGGAGGAAGGAATACTGTGCAAATTATTTATAAAAATAATTAAGATGGGATACCAATAAATAAACAAAATTTAAGTTTAAAGAATAAAAGTTTTAAAAAATAATTATATATATTGCCAATGTTTAATCCACTTATTTTTATCCTTTGAAGGTACAAATCAAATACTACTAATATATTGACCAGTTATCTTTAAAACAGATACTATTCAATGGTGGCTCATTCTCAATTAGCCGAAGCAATTTATCCTTGCCGTATGGTGAGAAATAAACCAGCAAAGAACTGTTCGTGCCTTTTTATTATAAACTTGAACTATCTATTCTCTTCTATACTGAGAAGAGTATTCTCAGGACAACAGCTGCACTTTTGTTACAGGCAATCTAAGTAAAGTTGAACTTACAGTGCGAACACATTTCCAGTGGGTAGCTTGCTTCATTTCCCTGAAATGAGAAAAAAAAAAGTGTTGTTTAAAAAGGCAGTTTAGCAGAAAGAAGCCAATGGAATACACCAAATAACTGCAATGGGCAACAGCACAATCCTAGGAAAAACCATGGCTGCTTTAAAGAGATGGAAACCAGTGTAAGTTTCACACTTATACACACCAGAGCTCAATAACCCAATTACGCAGCTCTTCTGGTATGACTGCCTTTAATTTTGATGCCCTTCATCCAATAGATATCTAAGAATCATTTTCTTTCATTAAATTTCTAGAACCAGACCTTTAATTCTCATACCTTTTTTTCTTTCCAGTTAAGCGGTACTAGTGTAATGCTAAGACTTCTCCTAACTTGCAATGAACTGAGTTTATCTTAAATCAGCAGAAGGTACATCAGGAAATATAATAACATTTTATCATTTTCATCTTTGTACTTTTGTCTTTGTCATGGGATAGTTTAATTCAGTATACATCTGTGAATTGATGTTTTCCCTTTTTCTATATATCCTGTGGATATGGATTATTACTTTTTTGGAGCTGATCTTTTACCCTAAATAAAGACCATATGTCTAAAAGAAATCATTAATCTCCAAATTCCTATGACTTGGTTCTAAAATATAACTGCACAGAAATCAATATATCCATAAATATACAAGCTGCACACACACTTAAATCGATTTTCTTTTCGGCAAATGTACATTTCAATATAAGTAGATATTTTTCTGACTACCATTGTTTTTAGTTGAAGATTATCAAGTCAGGGCTGAAAGACTAAGAGAAAGAGCAATAGTTTTCAGCTACTGTATATGTACTAAATATATATTTTTAAATACTAAATCAATGCAGTTGAGATATTCTCTCAAGTGGGAGCAGGGAAAAAAGTTAAAATTTGGGGAACACTGTTTATTTTTCTTCTTTGATTTCTATGCATGTTAATCATTTGTACTGTTGACAAGGATTAACTTTAGTATTTTATTCTAAGACATGGCCTTTTCACCTAATTATTAAACTTTAAAGCACTACTTTTTACTCTTAAAACATAAAAGAAGGTTTAAACCAATCTTCAGAAGTCTGGAGTAGAATGCCTATGGAGATTCTCAATCATCCAGATCATGATTGTCTCAAAGGTGCTGTTCAAAGGGAAACTTGGACTTTCTTCATTTTTTTCCTTGAAAACATTTTGCTTCTCATCCACGAAGCTTCTTCAGTGTGGTGTAAAATAGTTATACCATAACATATATCTACTATTTTTATCTGAGAAACTTATTTTTTCCACTATTCATCTTCTGTCAAAAATATATCTTTCCAGATTAATCTGTGTAAAAAATATTATTTTTATGTCAGAAGACCCTAATTAAGATTTTTTGAGGAAACATTAACAAGAAAATATTCTTCTACAGTGAAATTTTCCCTAATCTGATATTGAAAATTTATTAAGGTAACCGAAAGCAGATGACAGAAAGAAAGTCTTCAGTTGACAGTCACTTAACCTGTGAAGCAGCTGTCTATGACTCATTAACTATTTATAGTTACATACAGGAATCAACTTAAGTCTTGGCTATACCGTACAGATCTAACCTAGAAGCAGACCGAAGAAACAGAAAAAGCAGAATTTAAACTACTGATACATTTTAAAGACAAATGTCACAATTAACAATGTAATGCATTGCTTTCACCCCAAATTAAACAATTACTTGCTTATTTAAGAACTGAGGCCAAACATTCTTAAATAATGTATCCTAAGAACTACTTCACAAGTATGAGATCAAAGAAATGGGTAAACATATTAACAGTTTGAAAATAATGAAAAGTCCATTGTCTATTGTGAAAAAGAGAAATTCCATAAAAAAACCCACTTTGTCCAACAAAGTGCTGCCTGAAATTGGTGAACAAGCAAAATAAAATTAAATTAATTTTTACTGATACATGTGGTTCGAAGGATTTCTAGCTCTATCCAAGAGTATTGCAGAATTGAAAAATACTGCTAACCCAGAATGGAGCACTGTTGTGGAATGAGGCAACATTCCTTATGAAGCTGCATCCTTCCAGCTTAAAAAAAAAAAGTATGTATATGGGGTTCCTCAGGTAATCCAATCTCAATACCATGAAGGGCTCTAAAGGTGACAACCAGTATTTTTAATTGCACTCAGAAGCACACTGGCAACCAATGCAGCTTACAGATGTATGGATTAACTGTGTCATTTACTACCCATACAGGTGCTCTGTACCAGTTGAAGTTTCCAAATGCTTTTTAAGGGCAGCCCCATATAGAACATGTCTAGTAGTCACAAGGGCTTGAGTGACAGCAAGAAGGACCTCCCTACCCAGAAAAGAGCACAAATGGCACACAACCCAAAAGATCTACAATGTCAAAAACAATAACAAAGTTAACAGCCTCAAGGAAACAGTAATTTAAATATATGAAAAACATGCTTTGAGGAAGTATGAAAATAATTATTTAATCTACAGCTGTGTGAAATATGCATGATTTTAACTTGTTCTGGGGAAGGAGGAGGAGGAAGATGTGTTGGATATGTTCACCGCCTTATTTGTAAAAGTAATAAAAGTCAGGATACAAATAAAATTTTAAAAATATTTTTTTTTGAAACTTTTCTCCGAGACTTGGAATAATTACTTGCAGTGAAAAAATGAAGGGATAAAAGGCCTAAAGGATAATAACAAAAGGATGCTAGACATAAGATAATAACAAAAGGATGCTAGACATAAATTTTAAATATTCTTGTAATGTCCAGTATGATAATTGGAATTAATTTCATTTTTTTCATATTGGGTATGTTTCATGTTGACTATTGAAGTACAATTAAAATGCAGAAAATAAATCTGTGGAAACTACAAATTCCTTTGCTACTTATAGTAAATTCTGCTTATTAATTATGATTAGTAACTACTGGAACAGACAGTATAGAAGACATTGTAGCTACCATTAGTCATAATTTTAGAATCATTCCCCCCAAAAATGGATTACTTTTACTCAAGACAGGTCTGATTAAAATCAAATTGATTTAAATCCCTCCAAAGGGAGACTGAGGTTTAATGATTTCAGAAACCATAAGGAAGATTCTACTGAATCAACCTTTTAAATTAAAATATACCTTTTTGTTGTTTAATAAGCAAGTATTTGTCTTGATGTTTTTCAGATTTTCATTTAAAAATTGGACGGTTTTGTAATTTTATTTAATATCAAAACATATAATATGAAATCATCAGGATCAAAACCAATTTGTCTAATTAACCATGGATGTTTGGAAAACATTTTCCTTATTAGAAAACCAACACCACAATTAAGCTTTTATACTATCATCAAAAACAGATGTATTTCTTAACTTTTAAACATAAAAGCGACTTCTTCAAAGCTTTTTTCATCCTTCCCCACTTTTTAACTTTTGTTCAATGAAAAATTAAGAAACTTGCATATTCTTTTTCCAATTTTCTTTGCCCTAATAAAGGGATTGCCCAAGTTCAAATTTTGAATTTTAAAACTGGTGCTGCTGATAGACTTATTACAGCCTTCATTTTTGTCATGAAACATTGTAAATTGTACTTTAAAACAAATGCTAACATTCTTTGCCATTAAATCAGTGGTTCTCAACCTTTTTAATGCTGCGACCCCCCAACCGGTCGTAAGTCGAGGACTACCCAACCAGTCGTTAAGTCGAGGATTTTCCCTGCCCAGGAGCGCCACGCATGCGTGGTGCCGCCCCCTGCGCTGGCTGAGGCGTAGCTGGCAAGGGCGACCAACGGCTGGACCACCAGCTGGCCCAACCCAAGGGAGGTAAGGCACCTGCCGGGCCCCACGCACGCCAGCAACCCTCCCTGCACCCGCCAGCCTCCCACCTCCCACCCCTGGCCCTCTTTTACTTACATTTTTAGTAGTTGCTCAGCAGGGAGGAGTGGAAACTTCCAGACAGCTCGCCTTCGCTGCAGACAACTTGCAGCACCGTTTGCAGAATGGGACTTTTGGCAGGCTCAGCAGGGCAGAGACAGCCTGGACAATTCCTATTGGCTTTTGAAAGCCAATAGAATTAGACTCTATTCAAGAGAGTCTATTCTATTGGCTTTCAAAAGCCAATAGAATAAAAGGGAGTAGCACAGCTAAGGAAAAGGGGAAAAAATGGCGGACTGCGTTGTTTGGTGACCCCCGTGAAATGGTCGTTCGACCCCAAATGGGGTTGCGACCCACAGGTTGAGAACCACTGCATTAAATAATCAAGTTCTAGTTCAGATTACAGCCCATCCAGATGTTGCTGGTGAAAATTGCATTATCAGCCCTTGGCACTAAT